CAATCCCTGGGCCGTGGAAAAGTGCTATTCCATGGCCTGTTAGGAACCGGGCCACACAGCAGAAGGTGAGCCACTGCGAGCTAGTGAAGCTTCATCTATATTTGCAGTCACTCCCCAGCGCTAGCAACACCGCTTCAGCTCCACCTCAGATCATCAGGCATTAGATTTTCATAGGAGTACTGGTCCCTGGTGCCAAAAAAGTTGGGGACTGCTGCAGTAGAGTCTTGTATGTATTCTCATAGAAGAATTTATCCATTGTTTAAAAAAAAATCTTCCTATCATTAACTTCCTGGGAAATGACACCCACACATTTAGACTTCCATCAGCTAGCATTTAAACCAGACTTCTTTTGTGCTTAGTGTGGCCACACTTGACTTCCTTTTACTTTATATACTATATCTTAGATCTTTACTCAGATTCCTGACTCCATAAATGTCTTGGTTATGCTTCCTACCTAAAGTGACTGCTACCATGAAACACACTGTATAAGCCTCATGTGTTCTTATTGATCTTCTTGGCCTTCCTTTTTCAACTTTGTCAAATTGTGTATTGCAGCTTCACATAGCTATATTTTAACTGTCTAGAAAGAATTTTCCAATAGCTCATATAATTGACTTCCTATTTAAAGTTTTAAGAAATTGACTCTCAAAGGCTTCTTGAATCCAATTTCCTTTCGGGAAAATAATTTAATAAATTGTGGATCTATTCAGCCTCCGCTGAATCATCTCCCTTCCTACTTTTGTCACCTGGTAATCTTCCAGTTTGCTCTGTTAAATCGTATCCTGAAAATAGTTCTTTGAAGTTAAATCGTATCCTGAAAATAGTTCTTTATTCATGTATGATAATATCCTGTTTCCAGATATCCTACTCTCTAGCTAATAAAAGTATTGTCCCTGGATTGACATAATCAGTATCACATGAACAGCTGTTAGGAATGAAAAATTTTAGATCTATTACAATTAGATCTACTGAATTGGAACCTGAATTTTAGCAAGATCTTGAGGTGATTTATATTTACATTCAAGTTTAAAAAGTGCTGCCCTAACCAAATCAATTCTCATGTAATAAACAATTTATAAGCTTAGTAATTATTTTTGTATTTAAATTTATAAAAATTTCATTCAGGTTTTTTCTATACCGCAGTCCAGTTGGTAGTCACCAATTACATCAATCTTATCAGTCATTTCTCTTTCCTTGAGGAAGAAAGAAAAGCATGGGGTGGAGAGACTAATAGTTTCCTTCCAGCACTCCAGGAGTTAGAACAAAATGATTTTGAAGGGTGCCAACATTGAATCTGGATGAATAAATTAATATAAAATCTCTGGTAGATGGAGTTGTAATAAAAGCAATACATATTAAAAATCACGTATTTATTGAGACATTATAAACATAGTACAGCAAATCTATCAGTTTGTTAACACATTCACTTATCGTTACCTCATCTTATTAAATGACCATGTCAGTATATCTTCTGTTTTAGTTCTTAGTTCCAAAGCAATTTTTAAAATACGTTACTGAAGCTTGGTTAATATACAGATATAATTCCCAGTTGCATTAAAGTATTTTCAGGGATTTTTCTGTTAAAGATGCCTCTGGAGATTTATTTAGTTCATAATTTATATGCCCTTGTGCCTAAATCATTGGCTATAAATGTCCGTTGGTAGTAGGACATTACAAATAATATTATAATAGAAGTGAACAAGGGGAAAAGTGTACGTATTATAATGTAAGAGAGAAAGTACTCTTGGTTTGTACCTGATCTTTTCTTTTCCCCTGTACTATTTGTGTTTAAGTCAACATCAGTTTCCCTGAGGGAATTGAGTGAGAGAAAGAGACAGGAAGTACAGGCAAATTTTAAAGACTCCACTAGAAGTTCAATGTTTTTTATTTTATTTTATTTTATTTTTATTAAGTTTATTGGGATAACATTAATTAATACAATTATATAATTTTCAGGTGTACATTATAATTTGACATCTATATATTCTATTGTGTGTTTACCACCCAAAGTCCAGTTTCCTTCAGCTACCACATGTTTGATCCTCTTTACTCACTTCACCCTCCCCCTACTCCCTATATTTGACCCCCTTTACTCTGTCTACCTCTCCCCTCTTCCCCCATCCCCTACCCTCTGGGAACCAATAGT